ATGATTCAGGGCAAGTTGGATTACAGCTAGCAGCCATCAGGTTTTCAGCGAATACCAAAAACGTTCACAGGAAGTGAGTCAAAACAAGCGATCTAATTAACAAGAAGTAAAGAGAAGTCCCTGGAAATGTTGTATCTTTTAGGTCTCAACGATATATTTGCAATTTTCAAACAATCGATTCAGTTATCGCCTTGGTTAAAAGCTGGTCATTAAGAATCAACGCCTTTAAGGGAGGAATCATATGGAAGCTTATGAAAGGCGACTTAATGATATACTGAGAAATGTTAAATTTGGTAAAGAAACTGCCTAAATACTTTTTTGGGGGAAATGCTCAGTTGTGTGGTTGTGTCAGTTGTGATAACGCGCCACATCAGACGTACTACAAGCTTCAACTAATTGTTGCTGTGAATATTAAAGCAGAATTATCGCAAGTACTGAATCCTTTATTTTACAACAAGGACAGATCACTGCAAATTTGAATTTTCAGCTTGAGCTTATGATTGTCAATAAAGAAGACTCGACACAAATTTTTAAAAAGTGATAATGTTTGACTGTTCGAGACTTAACGGCACGTTCGTCAGTAAATCATAATAATCGACAGATATTTTTTTTAGCATTTGTTCTAAGCGACACTGAGTGGATCAGTGGCTCTGTTGCGCGGCTTGTGCCGTTTACTTCCTTGCGTCAGTTTTGTAAGACTTGCAGCTGCGAGTGATATTCTCAGATAAAGAGTAAAAAATAAAAAAACTTCACTTAAATTAACTTTAATATGAAGAAGACAGCTGAGCATTAGTCATCTTAAGGTAATAGCAGATTTTCTTCATAGTGTAGAAAAAATTGTCTCTGAATGGAATTCATGAATGCGGGAGATAGTAATGGAACAGGAATGAAATGATCTTTTTTCGGCTAACACCATTAATTAAGAAATAAATGCATATTAAATCCGTCACGTAGTAAACATGTTGCCCTTCATTTCCCACTGCTCTACTTTGGGAATAACGCAGGTCATGATTGATTCTTGTATTAGGCCATGGAAAAATGATATACTTTTCTTTTGATTTCCATGATTTTGCGCGCGAGCGACGGAACATTTTGCGGCCTGTAAGGCGCCTTCATATCATGAAACCTTTGTTATGATCTTTTGTGAGGGGGGAAGGGAGACAGGGTAAAGAGACATGAACAGTGTCCCCTTTCCACATCTTAATTGCTGTTTTAATATCGTACAGTAGAAAACCAATATTGTATTTGGTTATATTCTTGCAGCCTCGTCACAGAATTCGCGTCCAGAGAAGAGGTCCTTAACCTGGGAAAGCAGGGATACCCCGCTGACCAGAGATGATGGAAGCGATAGCTCGTACGGACAAGAGTTATTCCAAAAATTAGACAAGTTGGAAAGCGTAATGGAAAACCAACGAAAATTTCTCGAGGATCACGATATTAAGATTCAGGAAATAGAAAATGTTATCAATAAAATAATGAAAGATAAAAGAAGACAAGAAGAAGATCAAATAGAAACCACAGGTGAGAAAGATCATCGAATGAAGCTCGTTCCCAGGGCTCTCTCCTCCTCCGGCGCGAGAGGAAGTTTTCTCTTGCCTAGTCCGCGTGAAGTATCAAAACATGACTTTCTTCGACAAAGGCCAGCCACACTTTCATGGCTACACTTCACTACTTGACCACTACGCTCAGTAGAGACAAATCTCCTATTACTTCCCCCTCTCCCTCAAATTCGCTTATTTGGTATCTCCCGCTCGCAGATTCTAGGAGACACGTGACCACCCCCAACCAGGGTCTCTCTCTCACTCGCTCCGTTTGAATAGTAGGAGGAAACCATAGAGACGAGATTGCTTTCATTCATGCTTACAGACCACCGTTACTTAAGGAACTGCCTTAGGGAGGTGTTCAGAAGAATTCGACTAAAAAAAACAGGGACCAATCTCTAGGTGTTAATAAAATTATCTTATATCATATGAGAGAAGATCGTCTCAGTTATAGACGCAACTTTTGCAGTTGCGAAAAGAAAGCCCCAATTTTTTTTAAGGCCTGTACGGGATTCGAACCCTTGATCTCTGTGATACCGGTGCAGCGCTCTACCAGTTGAGCTACACAAGCCAACTGGGAGCAGTGTTGAATTGGTTCGTTATAAACCCCGTGAAACGATGATGATGAAGTTATAAATATAGAAAGATTATATATGAGAACTGCGGGGTGAAGAATTATATGAAAGAAGATTATCACAGTTATAGACGCAACTTTTGCAGTTGCGAAAAGAAAGTCGACATAGCCTGATTCACTTATTGTATTCTGGGGTCACACCATGTTCTATCATTCCATGTGTTATTTCAAGCCTAGATTTGCAATTTAGCTATGCATTTATTCATTTATCCCTCGCTCTTTCCACATACTGTATTCATAGATTTTCTCTCTCCTCTTAGAGATTCAGTTGAAACCGGAAACCTTGTTTGAACGCCTTGTCAGACCACCAGCCAATGAACAGGAAGACCAGGCAGCGACATGTGATCTGTGGAAGATGTTTGAATGCCATGAACAGATTCTGAACGAACATGAAAAGAGATTGGAGAATAACATTACCAAGATAGAGATTATCAGAGAAATTCTGGAACAGCAGAAAGGTACTTTTCAAGTAGTTAAGGCTGGCGTCAGTGGTGAAAAAGATCAAATCACAACCTCTAAAACAGTTCTTATTTTCTATAGCCGATCTCAATATACTTGTATCTAAGTATCTAAACTGACATAAACGGTCTTAAAAAACTGAAATTTTTTTTAAGGCTGTAATTCATATAGGTAATAGCATGATTTGTAGTGATATTTGGCATAAATACCACGAGTGATATTTCGAAATTGTTATACGTAATTCTGAACATTATTAAGAGAAAAGTAAGTTCATGTAATTGTTAACCACCAGCAGGCTCATGGGCTCAGTCACTCACACATTGGGAAGACAACCCGAGGGGTGACTCCTGGAAATTCTCGGTGGGGGTGTGTCGCCCTGTTCTCCAAATCCTGACCCTATTTCAGACCACAAAAACGTTATTTTTCAGGGGCGGGGGGGCACATCACTGACATCTATATGCTATAATGGTTTATATAAGGGAGTACCCCCATCCCCTAGGGATGACAAGGACTATGTGCTCTTTACTTGTACTGTTAACCGCCAGTTTAGTTTCTCTATTCAACTTAGTTTATTTTTTCTTCCCTTTAATTCAAAGGAAAACAGGAGAAAAGTGTGATAAAGAAACTCAAAGAATATGAGGGACTGCTGAAGAAGCGCTGTGAAAGCTACGAGGAACTGAAGAAGGAAGTGGAAGAGCAACTTCAAATTCACCAAAAACTTCAAGATAACTTACTAGCTGGTTTTCTTGTGGGTTTTGTGATTATGGTTCTCATTTGTATGCTGCCAAGAACATTATTAGCTTCTGGATAATTGTTCCATTAACTGAAAAGACTATGAGCTAAGTTAAAGAGAGAAGGACATGATACTAAAGTAAACTAGTTGGCATCATAAAGCGGTATTTCATGACTGTCTATTTCTTGAAGCAAGTGAAATGAAAAGATATTATCAATCGTGGTACTTGGATAAAAACAAGAGTCTTAGTTAAGCCAATCACAACGAGAACCAACGGGCAAATGAATCCGAATCAGAGCGATCATCAGGCAAAACTCGTGTTGCCGTCGCTCCGCACGAGGTCTATAGGCCTCAGTTCTCCCCTCCCCCCCTCCCCACCCCGTGATTTGGTCCTTAGGCCTAAGCACTAGCTCCGATCCCGCAAACTTTGTCCACCATTCGCTATGCATATCAATTACTTGGATAAATGATAATTACTGTAAAGGTAACAATTTCTGTAATTCAAACGCACCCGATCTATCAATGTACAAAAAAGAAGACAAAAAAACGCGAACTAACTCGATGAAATAAAAAAATGTAAATTTTATTATTATCAATAAAGGTAACTAGCTATTACTATTTTGAGTTGTACTAACAATTCTCTTACTGTTCGGTACAACTCCAAATTGTAAACGTCGATAAAACAGCTTCCAAATGGTTTTAGAGGCGAAGAGACAGTAAGAAACAAAAAAACACAAGGTAAGTCATTTTTATTTCTATTTTTGTCAAAAAATGGAATTTAGGACGTATTTTGTTTATTTTCATACATTCTCTTATAAATTCAAAGTCCAAACGAGTTGCTGAGAGAAGGTAACATGATTGGCAACTGTATGAGATGTCAGTTCCGTCGGCTTCGTCAGACCAGATCTCCATAAGTTCTTTTTTTAATTCTCTTTTTTCATTTTCTTATGACAACGTTATTGCAATTAGGTGTATGCTGGCCGAAACTTACTGGCATGCTCCGAGAAATTTTCCATCCGCCTGCAGCCAAACGCCACTTTCAGAAATTTTCATTACTTCCCAGAGAATCAGGCTTGGAAAATTGGACCGATTGGGAGGCTCACTTTTTGCGACGATTTTTTTTTCTGGACAGGAAGTTTTTTTAGCATAAAGTAAAGTAGCCTTGGTTAAATGGAAATTTAATTTAAGCATCAAAAACGAAATTTAAATTCATTTATATACTATAACCTTAAATTCTTGCGGACTCAAGATGTCACCGCGCGAATTTTTGCCGGTTGTTTAAATCCGGCCGTCACAGACCCTTCAGTACCACCCGTTTCTGTCCTTTCCATCTAATATATTATAATTGTTTACTTGCACGAAAAGATGAGACATGAACAAATATGAAACAAAAAAGAGGAAGAGAGAAAAATACTACATCACTCTCCCACAAACTTGACAGGCAGTCACCACTGATCGAGTGCCAGACTGAAAAGATGCATTCTTAATATGAGACAATTTGAATAGTGAGAATCAGTCTTCTTGGAAGCATTTCAGTGGCGAACCTTCTCTGAATCTGGTGGCAGATTTTTCTTTCGATAGGAGAGGCAGGAAACTACCCTATGATCTATCCTCCCTTCATGTCTTTTAAAATATGGGTCAGTTGTTGGCGAAATTCAAGATTTGGCGTAAAAAAAATCAGTCGTGGCACGAGACGACAGTACAAGGTATATATTTAGCTTTATCGGTCCGTTTACTGTGCGAACCAGAACAATTCTTTCAAATATGTTTATCCCCCTGGCAAGTTATAATCTTAAGCGATACTTGTGTGTGACGAAAATTCAATTTTGCAACATAAATTGCCGAGTGGGGACTTTACGTAGAAAGAGGTGTTTCAGTACTTTTATTATTAGTTCATCGTCTTTTCGAGTATTCTCTCCGTGATTGAATTTTGATATTGCACCAAAAAAAAACATAGCACGTATCCTTTTCTGTACCAGTTTATAAGTTAAGAACTAACGAGCCTAACTGATGATCCATGATGCGAATTTTTACTTACAGCTTCACCAAAATGCACAACACATTTAGAGCAAAGGTTCAGTGATGTGCAAACAGAAAGGCCTGAGGCCGGGCAACAGTCTATTGACGAATTATTCAAGAAATTGGAGCTATTTGAGGTTACCTTAGAAAAACAACAAAAAATTCTTCAGGAGCACAATATCAAGATCAAAGAGATGAAAGATGCGGTTGCCAAGGTAGACAGAGGAATTCAAGTAGATATAGGTAAACCACTGAGCGTCTTTTTATAGTGAAATAACTCGGCGTTAACCAATTCTCCTCTGTGTGGAGAGGCTTATACGTCTTCAAATATAATTGTAAAAGTGAGCAGAATTTTAACGGACCTTTAACCTTACGTGGTGCCCTAGGAGGAACTACCCGCGTTTGTTGTGCTGCTGCACGTAGCCGCACGTGATGCGTTGCATGTGTTGTTTACTTGTATTGTAACAATTTTACGCCAAATTTGAGCCTTCGGCAGCTGCTTCGGTATATCGCCAGGAGCCCATGGGCTGCTGATATCACTCATTATTATTACTATTTAACGGACCTGCACCTCTTTCTTTAGGGGCAGTTTTCCTAGTCCCAAAGATACTTGTATAAACTTCATATTATCCCTACCTCCCAAATAAGGACACCTATTTATTGCGAACACTTGGTTTCTTCCTTGTCAGGTCTGTAATATAAAGAGACATCACGAGACTGCGTGACCGAAGGGAGCGAGAGGAATGAACGAAAGAGTCTTCCCTCCTTCAAATCTCACCCTCATAACCACCCGCTTAGAAATACGTCTCGGTTATTCGCAGTTCGCTATAGGGGTTCAGAGGGAATCCAAGACAGTCTTGGATTCTGGATTCCATACCGTGGATTCCAGATTCCAGGTACTGGATTCCAGTCTTTGTAAGTGGAACTTGCATTCTGGATTCCAATCGTTAATGGGATTCCGGATTCCTTGAGCTGTATTCCTGATTCCAAAGCCCAGGATTCCAGATTCCACGCGTAAGATTTCCCAGATTTCGGATTCCACAAGCAAAAGTTTCCCAGATTCCAGAATCCGGATTCCCATTGATGGGGCGACAGCTCCCTCTCCTTCTTGTAAATTACCAGCTAACGTTGCCTTCTAAATCTGGAAGCTAGGATTTTTTGCCGTGGGTTTAAATAAAAATCGTTTTCTCAGTATTAATTTATTACTTTTTTATATTTCCAAAGGTCAATGGGTGGAGGCTTTGCAGCTAAAACTCAACGGATATGAATTGCGGTTAAATGAGCAAGGTGAAAATCAACGAAAAATGAAGAAAGAATTAGAAGAGCAGGCCCAAATCCAACAAAACCTACATGAAAATTTGATGGCCGGTGTCATTGTTAATTTTATGATAATGGTGGTGATATGTATGCTGCCAAGAGCACTGCTCACTTCTGTATAATATCTACTGTAGTGTTAATGGAGGGCAGTTTGGGTGTTTTTTTTTGTGCGGGAAATGATGTTGATTTGGGAAGGAAATAAATTAGGGTAGAAAAGGTGTACACATAAACCAGTTAGTCCACTAATGGGATCAGGGGCACCTTGTTGTGGTGGTGGACTGTCTGGTATTTGTCTACTAATTATTCACTCCATTTTTAACTTTTTAATAACCCCCAAAATCCAATATTTTTTCAATTTTCCAAAATGTTGAACATCCCCTTCATTTTTGTACATAAAAAACATTGTAGAAATCATCCAAAAGTTCTCAAAAAAATGGAATCAAGGACTTCAACTAAATTGTTATGAGTCATTTTTTTGATTAAAATAATGAAATCTTGGCCAGGTATTTAAGAAAAAGGGTGAAAATAAACAAACAACAATTCTTTCAAACAGACTGCCCCCTTAAATGCTGACATGTAACTTTTCCCTTTTTTACAGTGTTATGGGAAATCTAAGCGGAAAGGTCATTGCATGATTAATGCATGATGTGCAATACTCATTTTGTTAGCCTGCAGAGCTGGCCCGCGGGACAACGTCATTCCTGAAAACAATTCATGGATCGGGCTCCTAAATAAGCCTGCTTTGCAGGCTATCATTTTGTTGAACTAGAAAGCATAAGCACACAAGCCATTTTGTAAATGATGAACTTGCTCCTTATGCAATGCTGAGTTATAGGAGAACTTAGAAATTTTAACTACATCAAGCTGACAAGGACAAGGGACACTCTCCTATAGCTTGTACAGTTACACTTTCTATTATCTCAACTGATGATCTGTTCTATTGATGAAGTTAACATCAAGCTATGGAGTTGCAAGAGATCTTAGCAAATAACTCAGTGGAACCCCAATATAACAAAGTGCAAAGGGACTGGAAAAATTTTCTGGTAACCCTACAAGCCCAATATCCATGTACAAATTTTCCAGATTGATTTCCACACATTACCTAAAGAATTAGTTCAGGAATTTGATGAAAGATCAAAGCTTTTTCCTTTAGGCAACGATTCTATTAACTCTCATAAGCTTTTCTCTTGATTACGTCCTAATATTGTCAGGATAAAAATTGATGTTGGTCACTTTTGGGACTTGAAGGCTTAAAACAGGGGGACTTCATATAAGGTTCTGTTCCTAGACTGCAATAAAAGTACTTTTTCTTTTTCTCAGAATCACTCATTGAAATCGATTGAAAGGTACAAAACGCCATAGTAAAATTTTTGCATGGAGCATGCCAGCCTCAGGTATCTCTTCCCTGAGTCTAACTCAACGTTTTCATCCTCGCTCCAGACACTTTGTTTGACATGCATTCTCTACCAATGCTGATAATAATGCGTAGAATGATGTCAAATTCAAAATGCAACAAGTATCGCCTTCTTTTCCTGTAAACTGAAAAATCATAAATATATATATTTTCTTCTTTGCCTCTACTTTTCATTTTTTTTCTTTTCGCTTTGCATTTTTTAGCCTAACTATGCTTAATTAATACAATTATCTCATATATTATAATGTTTTCTGTTTAGGAGATCTGCCATTGATTCAAATGATTTGTATTTAACTCGACCTGTTAATACTTTGTTATAATGATTAACTGAGGGAGCTCTTCACTAATAAGCCTTGTGGTTTCCCTTGGGCTTCCTTGCCAAAAGCTATTTAATATTTAAGCACTTCTAACTTTGTATGGTGGCAGAACAATAAACTTGAAACTCAATATACTGGTAAGAGGGTTTCAAGAGGCATCCTTGAGATCAAGGTTCCACCATCACTGTTTTTATCACAGAAGTGTGATGTGTTGTGCTTCAGGCATTGCGTTAATGAAGCAGGCTTATTAGGCAACTCGGAAATAGCGTATTGTGTGCAGTTTAACTTAGATAGTAAGCGTCACCGACCGCTGGCAGTAATATTTCATCTAAATAAGGCGATGCAATTTTTCTGAATCTCCAGCGGTAAGCGAAAGTGAATTACACAGTACTGAATAATACGTACGTGACACTGCAGTTTCAGTAACACATTGTGCACCGATGTAGTAGTCGCTGAATCTCTGACGCAGAAGTTTGAATATGAAGAGGAAACGAGATAATAACCTTTTTGTAAAATTTCATCCAATGAACAAGCGAAGTTTTGCACAGCTGTTCCCGTGGAAGAAAACAAACTGCAAGTAGTCGAGACGAAAGAATTAATTTGTATTGTTTGTGTAATAAAACATTTTCCACTTCTTCTCAGTTCAGTTATTTTCTCAGAGGACGCGGTGTTTTTTCACCAACGCTAGCATTGATCTCAGGCGTAAATCGGCGCGTATCGACGTTGATTTGGAATTTTCTTTGAAAAAAATGGGCCAGTTGGCGGTGAAATTTAAGGAATGGCGTGAAAAACTGGAGTTGTCGCACGAGAAGACCAAGCATGGTAAATATACTTAGTTTTATTTACCGTTTACAGTGTTCAATACTAGTTTAATGCATAACTTTACTTGAAGCATATCCTTCTTTGAATCATGCGAGTGTTTTCTTGAGTTGAAAGTAACTACAAACGAGCTTAAATTATTTTCTTCTTCTGAATATATGGATCGTAAGGCCGTTTATACCATGATTCAGGGCAAGTTGGATTACAGCTAGCAGCCATCAGGTTTTCAGCGAATACCAAAAACGTTCACAGGAAGTGAGTCAAAACAAGCGATCTAATTAACAAGAAGTAAAGAGAAGTCCCTGGAAATGTTGTATCTTTTAGGTCTCAACGATATATTTGCAATTTTCAAACAATCGATTCAGTTATCGCCTTGGTTTAAAGCTGGTCATTAAGAATCAACGCCTTTAAGGGAGGAATTATATAGAAGCTTATGAAAGGCGACTTAATAATATACCGAGAAATGTTAAATTTGGTAAAGAAACTGCCTTAATTCTTTTTGGGGGGAAATGCTCAGTTGTGTGGTTGTGTCAGTTGTGATAACGCGCCACATCAGACGTACTACATGCTTCAACTAATTGTTGCTGTGCATATTAAAGCAGAATTATCGCAAGTACTGAATCCTTTATTTTACAACAAGGACAGATCACTGCAAATTTGAATTTTCAGCTTGAGCTTATGATTATCAAGAAAGAAGACTTGACACAAATTTTTAAAAAGTGATAATGTTTGACTGTTCGAGACTTAACGGCACGTTCGTCAGTAAATCATAATAATCGAGAGATATTTTTTTTAGCATTTGTTCTAAGCGACACTGAGTCGATCACACTTACGCGGCTTGTGCCGTTTACTTCCTTGCGTCAGTTTCTTAAGACTTGCAGCTGCGAGTGATATTCTCAGATAAACAGTAAAAAATAAAAAAAACTTCACTTTAACTAACTTTAATATGAAGAAGACAGCTGAGCATTAGTCATCTTAAGGTAATAGCAGATTTTCTTCATTTTATAGTGTAGAAAAATTGTCTCTGAATGGAATTCATGAATGCGGGAGATAGTAATGGAACAGGAATGAAATGATCTTTTTTCGGCTAACACCATTAATTAAGAAATAAATGCATATTAAATACGTCACGTAGTAAACATGTTGCCCTTCATTTCCCACTGCTCTACTTTGGGAATAACGCAGGTCATGATTGATTCTTGTATTAGGCCATGGAAAAATGATATAGTTTTCTTTTGATTTCCATGATTTTGCGCGCGAGCGACGGAACATTTTGCGGCCTGTAAGGCGCCTTCATATCATGAAACCTTTGTTATGATCTTTTTTGAGGGGGGAAGGGAGACAGGGTAAAGAGACATGAACAGTGTCCCCTTTCCACATCTTAATTGCTGTTTTAATATCGTACCGTAGAAAACCAATATTGTATTTGGTTATATTCTTGCAGCCTCGTCACAGAATTCGCGTCCAGAGAAGAGGTCCTTAACCTGGGAAAGCAGGGATACCCCGCTGACCAGAGATGATGGAAGCGATAGCTCGTACGGACAAGAGTTATTCCAAAAATTAGACAAGTTGGAAAGCGTAATGGAAAAGCAACGAAAATTTCTCGAGGATCACGATATTAAGATTCAGGAAATAGAAAATGTTGTCAATAAAATAATGAAAGATAAAAGAAGACAAGAAGAAGATCAAATAGAAACCACAGGTGAGAAAGATCATCGAATGAAGCTCGTTCCCAGGGCTCTCTCCTCCTCCGGCGCGAGAGGAAGTTTTCTCTTGCCTAGTCCGCGTGAAGTATCAAAACATGACTTTCTTCGACAAAGGCCAGCCACACTTTCATGGCTACACTTCACTACTTGACCACTACGCTCAGTAGAGACAAATCTCCTATTACTTCCCCCTCTCCCTCAAATTCGCTTATTTGGTATCTCCCGCTCGCAGATTCTAGGAGACACGTGACCACCCCCAACCAGGGTCTCTCTCTCACTCGCTCCGTTTGAATAGTAGGAGGAAACCATAGAAACGAGATTGCTTTCATTCATGCTTACAGACCACCGTTACTTAAGGAACTGCCTTAGGGAGGTGTTCA